TTATATAATGTTTTAAATCGCATGTCATCATCCATAAAAATTAATAAAATTTTAATTTAGGGAAAATCATCAAATTACACCCATAATAAACACTAAAATAGCTGAAATAGCAACCGCGCATTCGCAAATAGATCATATGTGCTTTTATGACTAGATAGATACAAATATTTAAAAGGGGCTTTATAAATTAGAATTATCTTATTATATAAAAATAAAGATTTACTTGGAGCTTAGGAATATTAAAATGAAATATTTGTTTATATATACTTTAAATAAAAATAAATAATTAATTAATGGAGCAACTCAATAAACAAATCGAAGAGCAAGCAGATGAATAAGATATTGTTGAGGATTTAAACATTGAAGGAGTGAAAATCACAAAATTCACTGAGGAAATGGCTGCTCTCTTTACTAAACATCAATCGCTTCTAGGTTTGGCATTTGAAAAATGCGGATTGACAACACTAGAGGGATTCCCTAAATTGAAGAAATTATAAAATTTAGAGTTTTAAAACAATTCTTTAACAGGAACATCAATTAAATATATAGCAGATAATTTCAAAGAGTTGATCAACTTGAATTTATCATAAAATAATATTAAGTCAGTTGATGTAATCACAGTAAATATCATGATAGGATTTGAAACCCTTAGCTTCCCTAACCAAGCTAGAATCATTGGAGTTGAAGGATAACCCTTTGACCAAAGAAGCAGGATATCATAAAAAGGTGTTCCAACTTATCCCATCCCTCAAAGTGTTGGACAATAAAAATGAAAAGGGAGAGGAAGTCCTTGATGTAATATACTCTATTTATTGATTAGGATGAGGGTGACGATAATGATGATGATGATGATTTAGATGAGGATGATTCATTTGATGAAAGTGAAGAAGATGATGAAGAATCAGAGGAGCCAGCTAAGCCAGTCAAGAAAACAAAAAAATGACATTTTGCCCCATTAAAACATATAAAATACCGCCAATAATCATTTCAATATCCCCATATATACTCATCACCATTACTAAGCTATATATCCAATTCGTCACTAAGCTCATTCAAATAAGGATTCTATTTTGGATAATATAAATTTATTATACTAAAGCCAATCGGATTTCTAATTGCTATTCTCTATAGTCAAGACTCATCATCATTTACTCACTTGAAAGATTGGGAGTCTAAAAGTTGGCAAGCTGATTAACATTCCTCACAGGAATTTTATTCTTTTTATTTAATCTATTAAATATACTATATTCAAAGATTATAAAGCTTCTTATAATTAATGCGTTTAGATTTTGGTCGTATTTAATGTCATATTCATATCACATAAATTATGGATACACTACTTTGAATGGAACTCCATCCAATTTCTTAGTAAGGATAGACTCTTACCATATGCCCATATGTTACTCAATGTAATTTAATGAAGGAGAGGAATATTAATTGAACTCATATTACAATTGTGACTAATTTAAATGAGCAGTTTCCATAAATTTGAGATATTAATAATTTTATTAAAAAATCCTGCATTCTGATTTTAAGATAATCCTAATACTATGTTATGAAGAATCATTAATTAGGATAGTAGTTATTCATAATAGAGAAATATAAAAAAATAGTAGACAGGGATTTGAATAATTGAAAAATTTCAATTAATTAAAAAGCATATATGAATAAAGATATTGAAGAGAACTTTAAATAAAAGTCAAGATGATCTGAACTTATTATACATATCAATATAGAGTAATCATATTTATCCTCTATTCTAATTTTAATTTTTATTCATCATCCTTTTAATCTTCTGGAATTGTAAAGATAAAATCTTGATTAATTTTATTTTTTTTGTTGCCTACTTTTTAAATCCAAATAAGATTCTTTATTTCTTACCTCTTGATATCATGAAATAGTTTCAGAACTGTAATCAAAGAAAAAAATTGCAGTGTTGATGATCCGTACAAATATATAAGTTGACCCACTGGATCTCTTATTAAATCAGTTACTAGGACAGTAATACTTAAGCCTCCAAATAGAATTTCAAAAAGAATTCCAAAATAAACTAATAATTGGATTTTAAATAAAATTTATCTGTCAATAGCTAAATTAGCAGATTTATTATTATACTATTCCTAGTATTCATCAGACTGATAGTGAATTTACTGAGTCTTCTGGTCTTGAGAACTATTACTGATTTAACTTAATTTCTTATTTTCATTTTGTTATTTTGATTTGAATAATGGAGTTGATTTCTCTTATTGTTTTCTCTTTTCAACAATTTGTTTGGTCTCTTTCACAGATTTAATTTATTATTTAATCGTATCTTATTAGGTTACTCTATCATCATTATTTTCCCAATCTATACCATTTTATTAATCCTCTTATAAACAACAACTATTGATCTCACACACTTGTTAATCTGCCTAATATTGGTTATCCACCTGATTTGAATCAGAATTGTTATCTTGATTTTTGATTTATTTTATTTCCTTTTAGCTTTCCTATCTAAAAAAAGATGAACCACGTACTCGTTTAATAAAAGTTCTAGCAAAGGATACCGATTTTATTTTAGTAACAGCTAATTTAGGTTTAACTTCTTCAATTTATTTGACTTCATTTTTCTAATCTTCAATACTCACTTATCTAGACATCCTGACATACTTATTCATGGATTCTGGAGACTTGCTAAAGCTATCATTTTAAGAAATTTATTCAATTTATTCATTATTTTACTTCTACTATTCAAGGAATTAGTGTTTGCAATTCTGAATTTATTTCTTAATACATTCCTGAAGAGATTGCCCATAAATCAAAAATTCAAGTATGAAAATAAAGAAATTGAACAATAGAAAAAGATAACAGAACATCAAAAATGCAGGATATTACACACCTTTCCTTAGTCCTAATTTTATAATATGAAAATCGATACCATTCATTGTACTGACTGTAATCTAAACTAAAAGGACTATAAACAGTCTTAACTTTAACACTTCTTTGTAATATTTGAAGATGTACTTCCTTTTCTCTTTGTTAGAATATACATTGTATGAGATTTCATCATACATTGTATACCAAACAATCAAGAGACACCCATAAATGTAAAATAATATTGTGTAAACCACTTCTGATAACAATCTCTCTATTACGATCGTCTTCCCTTTCTAATATGCTTTAACCAACTTTCACTTACATAAACTTCAAAAGGATCGAGAATCAGCCAAATCAATTTGCAAAGAGATAATATTATCGTTAGGACAAGGATGTAATTCTAAGGTGACCCTATTAAAGCAAGGGCATATTGCAGACAACTACTATGAGTTCAGACTAATTACGTGTAATAGGCTGGTATCTTTGATGTCTTTAAAGAGACCTAAAATTATCGAATAGTTATAAAGAGAATAATCACAAAAGCAGCACAGTAAACACCTTAGAATGTATAATATGGACCAATGAAAATGTCCTATAAATTCTTCTAACACTCCTCCCCAAATGCACCAACATCGCAAAGGCATTCTCCATCAATCACTATTCCTTTATCACAACATTCTATTTCGCATTATTACATTATAAAATTATAAAGTAAAATAATTACAACTTCGATTAATATTGTGAGTAAAAATTCATTATTAATAAGTTATTGATTTTCTCAGGAATCTTTATTTATAAAATCATAATTAATCTAAACTCACATGTACATTTTCAATTTATTAAAAAGAGCATGTAATGTAATTAGTATTACCCATAATCCGATAGTGGGGAGATTGTCTAAATCAAAGCAGTGAAGTTTGGAGAAAATCATATTAATTGAAATGAATAGTTGCTTTTAAAATGAGAAACCCGCTGAAGAGATCAATGATGGATAAATATAAACTTATAGAAACGATACTCATTAAAAATTGAAAGCAATTTAAAAAAGTTATTTCAAATATTTATTAATGAATGATCTCACAACTAATTAGACAATCCTTAGCTAAGGAAATGTTGTCATAATCAGAAATCAAATAAAAATTACTGATGAGAATACAAGAAATGATAAAATAATAAAAAAGATGATTAGGATTTAAAAAGTTAAAGCAATTTATGTAAATTACCATATAATTAGAGAAGCCAAAGTAGATGATGATCATTTAATGAGAATGTATCAATCTTCAAACAGAATTTAAGTCTAAACGAATTAATTTAATTAATAATATAAAAGACCCTTAAATGAAATTGCAATTAATTAATAACATATCGAACGTTCTTGAATTAACTTCTTAAGTGAAGAGCTAAACAATTATAGAGGAAACTCAAATCTGGAATTGTGAGAATTGACGTTTTTTGATTATGAACACAATATATTTGAATTTTAATTGATAAATTCATTAGAAAATAAAAAGGGATGTAAATGAAGTTCAGAGTCATAAAGAGAGCAGGATTAAAGTTGAAAATTTTAAAATCAATAAATTATATTAAAATTAAATAATTGAGGTTTAGATAAGATGAGAACTAAGCTGAGTCATCTATGCTAATAATTTAATTGAAAGGTAGATATATAATTATCACAATTTAATTATGATAAAATTTATTTTTTCTTTATAAGTTTGTAATTAGATTTGTATATTTTCAAAATAAAATAAGTATGTGATTTCCTGTGAGTGTTATGAATATGTGACCTGAAATTAATTAATTCAGATTACTAAATATAATTAGCAGTAAAAAAGGATGTTTAAATAGTGAAGAATTAATTAAATTTATATAAAAAAACCAAAAAGGCAAAGTTATAATTATGAAGGAATATCGTCAAAGCTGGAATTAAGATGTAATTATTATAAATAAAATTTCAGGAGGATCAATAGCTATAAGAATTATACAAGGTTTATGGTGATAAATGGAAAAAGATTGCTGAGTTACTGCACTTAAGATAGAAATCTTAAGGAAAGATCAGAACTGCAGCCGCTTGTAGAGAGAGGTATCAAAATATTCTTAAACCTACTTTAAATAAAAATTTATGGACAAGAGAAGAGGAAGAAAAATTATTTTCATTATAAAAACTCTATGGGAATTGCTGGACTAAAATTACAATAAAGATGCGAAATCGATCAGAACTAATTTGCAAAAACTATTTTTATGCAACCATCAGGAGAGTACTGAGAAGATTGAGCAAGTAAGTCGGCATCTTAAAACGTAATAAAATTATTTTGTAATTTAGCTTCTCAAATGTTAAAATCTATAAAGCCCAGTGTCTTAATGAGCATATACTTGGAAGACAACTAAGAAACTCAGTTGGTTTTCAATTAGGAAGTACGCCTAAATTTAAAGTAATTGATCACTAAATATTAATTTATACAAAAAGAAGAAAATATACCTTTAGATAATGAGGAAACAAAAAATATTAGACAATTGATTAGAGACTTAGTTGATGCTAAGTATAGATTATTATATAAATTAGTATTTAGTATTTAGAGTTTAAAGGACGGTTTCAAATATAAAAAAAAAATAAACTGAATTTTTAGAGTAATAAAGAAGAATTACAAAAGGAGCAAGAAAATATAATAAAAAGAATTAGATTATAAGAAGATGTATTTGTAATGAAATATCCACATTCTCAAAATTAAATACAGAAAAAAGAGTAAACTCTTAAGGACAGCTCATGTAATGAAAATAAGGGTTTTAAAAACTTAATAGCAAATTAGAATTCTTAAATTCCTGAAAGTTATTTTTCAACGTAATAATACTTTAATCTCTAATAAACCTAAGCTTATTTCCAAACCTATATGGATTACTCTAAATATAATGCATAATATCAATTTGGAAATTACTTTGATCCCTACTCATACTTTTATTATCAATAGACTCCTTACCAATTTCAATTGTAATAGAGAATTTGATTTTTTGAAAAAATAACCTGAATACATATTTCAAACTTAATGTATTAATTTAATATAAATATAATTTATAATCATGATTCAACTTGAATTTAAACCTGCTCCTATTTTTGGTCCTTTTATTGCAGATCTTGTTTTGCGAATATGTTAAATATCTACTCGATGGACGCTTGCTTGATAGAATATTAGGAAATAGTCAATTGTTATTTATTCTTTTCAAAAACTGAGAATAATTTGCCAGCTGAAATATTGGAAAGCAATCTAATCCTATAAAAGGTTTAGAAGTGCTCAATAATTTCATATTGACCAAGTTATTGCTAAATAAATTCTAATAGTTTTTTTCCATTCTATTCTACAAGTACATACTCTGCCAAAGTTTCAACACTAATTCCGTGTCTATTTAAATCATTATACATATGTGACCCTGATTCTTTAGGTTGAATATAATTCATTAATTAACCTTGATTAATCTTTTGTAAAGCACTGAGAGTGGCTGATTGATTGAGTTTTATGCCTTTACTTAATCCCATCTACTCAATGATTTGATCAAGGAGATTAACCTTTGGTTTCTACAATTTGATTTCAACCTCATATCCTTAGCCGTACTTATTCTTGACATGCTAGACAGATCCAAAACATCTCAAGTTGCCATCGACTTGAATGGCAACTTTGGTTGAAAGTGCTTCTGCCTCTTCCATTGAATGAGTAGTCAAAATAATTGAGCTTTACTTTCTCTAAGTGGATATCCTTGATATAACATTCCACATGAATCTTCTGGCCTCAGGATCCATACCTGTTGATGGTTCATCAAGAAATACAATGGGTGGATTACCTATCATAGCAATAGCCACTGATAACTTTCTCTTATTACCTCCTGATAATTACCCAGCTTCTACAGACTCAAACCTCTTAAGATCCATTTCCACCATCTTTTTTTCAACCAATTCATGAAGGTGTAAATTAGAAATCCCCTTGATTTTGGCAAACAATTCTAAATGTTCTCGTACAGTAAGATTCTCTAATAAGGCATCAAATTAAGGACAATATCCAATATTTTTTCTGGCATCTTGAATTTAATCAATAACACTATATCCAGATACATAGGCTACTCCTGAAGTTGGTTTTAATTCTCCAGATAATATTTTGAAAGTGGTAGTCTTGCCAGCTCCATTAACACCCAATAAACTAAAGACTTCTCCATTGCCAACTGAAAAGGAGATGTTGTCAACTGCTACTTTATGTTACTTCTTCTCTAACATAAAGACCTTTCTCAAATTTCTGACCAAAATTGCTTAATCTTAAGGTCTATAATTCTAGCAGAGTTATTATTCTTTCTCCACATCATCATCCAATATTTTTGGATTGTATGGAATGGATGCCTCGTTAGATCCCAATTTTTACAATGAACCATTGTCTTCAAAGAATTCCAAAATAAACACTATAATCATATATCCAACTCCACTGATTGCAAGCACAATTAAATCCTCACCTGCAACTCTCATTGCAAAAGTGTTAGGTGGAGTTATTGAATTCTCAAAAATCAATTCAAAGAATTGTTTTAAACTTGTCCTCAACAATCCTAATGCAAAGGAGAATGATGGAATTGGTCTAAAGACCCAAACCAAATAGGAAGCAGCATCTCTTGTAGAATCAATAAGGAAGAATACGTAAATGACAATACTTATGATGGATCCAAATACAAGGTGAATGAAGAAGGAGGATAACAATGAGTTTCCTGGCACTTTGAAAAGGAAGCTTAAAGCATAGCTAAAGGGTATGATGGCCCATCCATAAAGAATAAAGAATAGAAAGACTGCTCCATAATTACCATCCAATATTAAAGCATCTATGTCAAAGGCCAACACCATTAGTGCACTTACAATTGCAGGTATCAAATGTTTGACTATATCTATTATCCAATTGCTTGCCCAATAAGCTAGGACTGAAACACCAGAGACTAGTTACTAATGCTTAATATTGATTTCTCTTTCTTTTACTATAAATGAAATAATTGATGCGGGTATGAATGCAAAACCAATTGAAAATATAAAGGCTGATAGATATCCAGCAACTGATTAATCAATACTCTATTCATTTTGAGTTTGTGGGAATGGGTAAAAGGATACTTCAAGATTGGCTGAGGCGGTATTTGTAACCTTCCTTAAGATGGCTTAATTCATTTGATTTAAGAGAAGGGGTGAGCCTTGTACAAATACTGAATTCTGTAAAAACCAATAGGAGTAGGTAGAGCCAACAAATGAATTAAAGAAATACCATCCTGGACTTTCTCTTAATTCAAATTGATCGAAGTATTCTTAATCAGCTTATTCTAATTTGGATGATAATTTAGAAATTGTCCAATCATTGGGTGAAAAATATTACATCAAGTTCTAGCCAGCTTAATCTCCACCCCAAAACAATTATAACTTTAAGTCATCATATAAGCCTTATGGTGTAATGATTGCCAACTCATCATCTTTCATCCACTTCACTGTCATAATAGCCAATCCAGAAATGACCACTAATATAGGTACAAAGATTTCACATACCAATCCTCTTATATCCCTTCTGAAAATTCTAAATCTCTTCTACATCAATGCAAAGAGATGCAAAAAGAAAGTGGAACAGAATCCTTAAATTTTCTCAATGTTTAAGTCAACATTTTAATTAATCTCATCATTCTTTTCTTTATTTTATACATCATCAACTTATTCATGTCCAGCTCCTATTTTGGCCACCTTTAAAAACACTTCTTCTAAAGTAGTAATGCTGATTCCATAGGTTGCCACATGCAAAGTTTTCAAGTTCTTATCTAAATATTCAAACAAACTTGGGAACTTGTCGATTGAATCAATTGGTAATTGCATAACTACTTCTGCAGACACATTAGATAGAACTGTGGCAGTGTTAATGTAAGTGATTATGCTGTCTATGATTTTTTAAGATTCAACTTATGTGCTGTCTTTAACTAAAGTTAAATTATATCCAACTCCGAATCTATTCTTTAAGAATACACTGCTTCCAGAACATAGTAATTTACCCTCGCCCATTATACCAATTCTATCTCCTAAGAAATCAGCTTCATCCATAAAATGAGTAGTTAGCACTATGATTCTATTGTCCTTGTAATTCTTTAACATTTCCCAAATATATCTTCTTGCACTTGTGTCCATTCCTGAAGTAGGCTCATCTAGATATACTAGTTTTGAATTTCCAATGAATGCAATAGCAACTGACAATCTTCTTTTTTAACCACCTGATAGATTCTTACTGAGATAATCTGTTTTATCGGTCAAATCAACATCAGCTATTATTTTGGTTATTTAATCTTATATTTCACTAGATTTAATTCCTTTGAATTAAGCAAACAATTCTAAATGTTCTTTTACTGTCAGATTATCAAATAGAATATCATGTTAAGGACACACACCCATTATCTTTCTTAGTTCTTCTAATTAAGATTTCACATCATAACCATAAGCAATTACATCTCCTTTTGTAATTTCCAATAATCCTGTAAGCATAGAAATAGTTGAAGTCTTACCAGCACCATTATGTCCTAATAATGCAAATATCTATCCTTAATACATTTACAAATTTAGGTTACTTACAGCCTATTTACCATTAGGATATGTTCTATGCAAACCTTTAATGACGAGTGCTTCATTTTTTAATTCTTATTCTTTCAAAGCTTACTCAACTTCTTCAAATTTATCATCATGTGTATTCATTCTTTCCAATGACATTGATGAATGACTTACTCTATCCATTCTGTCCTTTTTCCAAATCCAATTAATGAAGAATAATGGATGTTTCTTAACTCCCCATTCGTTTGGAAATACTTAATCCAAATATATGGCCAAGATCAAATATGCGATAATATTGATGACATGCCAAGTCCAAGCTATAGAAATACTGTAATTATTGATGGTAGTTGTCAAATTTGACCCATCAAATCCATTGCCTTATGATTCCATTAGAGTGATAACACCAAATGAAAAGGCCAAAGAAGCTTGACTTGAAAAGGACACTCCCCAATATTAACTTCTACTTGGAATAGCATTTGCAGGTACCAAGTTCAACATTAAAAACATTAGTAAATACCAAACAATTGAAACTATTAGTCCTGTTAAGGCTTATGAGAAAAACACTGATAAAAAGAGTGATTACACTATTAGAACCAAGCAGAACAAGTAATAATTTAAGAATATAAACCCCCAACCAGATTCTACGAATATCATACTTTCTAAAAGTATATTAAATTATAACTTACTTAAAATAGCTGTTGCCAAGATTGAAATGATTCCATATATCAATAAATATTGGATTATCCATGACAAGTAAAATTAAGTGTTGCTCAATCCCATTATCTTCATTCCTTCTCTCAACTTCTTCTCTTTTTCATAAATAATCCCATGAGTCATTCTTAAAAATACAATCATCAAAGGCAATGCCAGATAAATTCCATATGCTCCATTTACAAAATCTGGGAACTTATCTTCAATATGATCTCTTGATCTAACATGACTGAGAGTTGGTTCTATTGTGACAGATGAATCATATTATTGAATAATTAAATTATCAATCCAATTTTGAATAGTAAGAAATCCATTTTCGTAAAATAAGTAAGTGATTTCTTGATCCTCACTAAAAATATAGAAAGAATAATTACTATTTAAATGAATTAATCTTGTCCTTTCTATTCAATGGATATTCTATGTAATCTGTTGAATCAGAAGTGTTGAATCTTAAAGTGTAGCTAAAATCCTTCTAAAATACATCATCCCTCTCAAATATTATTGCTAGACAGAGTCCTTATGTATCTTATAACTTATTATATCCATCTGATCTCACATAGTCATCGACTTCATCATTATTTTAGAACCACTTCACATCATATCCATAATAATCAATAAAATAATTTGATAATTTCTAAGCCACTTCATTCTCTTTTGGTCCAATTCCTATTAATCCATTTCTGTAAGAAGCTCCTGAATAATCATGGTTATCAATGCAATTCCTAACATTAAAAACACGAATACTTCAATTAGGGCAGTGATTTCAGCAATTTTTCGGTGTCTTAATTTGGATTCTTGGAAAAACTGTTTAAATTTGGACTCAGAATTCGAGGCAAATCTGAATCATTGTATGCTTTTAAGTATGAAGTTTCAGGTATATCATCTATTTCAACTTGAGCTCTAATTTTATCATTAAATATGTTACCTGATTGTTAATAATAATCCGATGAAAAACAAAGGAAGTATGATTTCACATACGGAACAACAACAATTCCTCTTCCACAATATATAGTTCTTTCTAAGTAAGGCTGTTAAGTGAGACATGATTTAGTAATTTATTTAATGCAAATATCTGTATAATCAAACTCTTCTATGGGAGTATTCTATAAAAATTTCCCTTTTTTATGGAATAAATTAATTATTCATCAATACTAGTTTATTTATTTAAATAATAATGTGTAATAATATTAATTAATTTCTGAGTTAATAATATTTTTATATTTAATTTAATATCTTATAACTTTTAATCTGACACTTTATAGTACTTAATTTCAATTGAAATCTTCCTCCAATGTGTTGTTTATTTCCAACATTATATCAATTTCTAAGTGCTAGTATTATGTAAATTAAGATTCTAAAGTGCTTGAGGAATTACTGATTATATCGACTCGTTTTCTCTTGTCAGGTACAATAATATAAACAAGATTGGAAGATTTGAATGTTTTAAATTTAAGAATATTATTCAATATTTACTAATATAATTGGGGGCAGTATTAAAAATTGAATATTTATTAAAGAAATGGGGGTTTATAAACTTGGTAACTCTTAACTAAATTTGAATTTTTTATTTATTTTTTTTGAGATGAGCACCAGAGACGAATTGCTTTATATGGCTAGACTCACAGAGTAAACTGAGAGATTCGAGGACATGGTTAACTACATCAAACAATTAGTTAGTGTAGGACAAGAATTGTCAGTAGAAGAGAGAAACTTGCTCTCTGTTGCTTACAAAAACAGCATTGGAGGAAGAAGAACAGCTTGGAGAGTCCTTTCTAGCATTGAGAACAAGGAAGAAGGAAAGGTATAGAAATCTCACATTTTATTAATTCAAAAACTTGTCCCTTATATTAATTCATCTTTATTTGATTATTTTAGGCTCAAACCAATCCAGCAAGTCAAAGAAACCTCACCTTAATTAGATCTTATAAGAAAAAAATTGAATAAGAATTGAATGGATTTTGCAATGATGTGCTCAACCTCATCGACACCTCACTCATCAGGACAGCTACTAATTCAGAAGCTAAAGTCTTCTATCACAAGATGAAGGGAGACTATCACAGATATATCTCAGAATATTCAAGTGGAGATCAACATAAACAGGCTGCAGAAGGAGCATTAGAAGCTTACTCACAAGGCTTCAAATGTCGCCAACTCTGAGCTCAAAACCACAAATCCAATTAGATTAGGTCTTGCACTCAACTTCTCAGTTTTCTACTATGAAGTCTTGAATGACCCAACAAAGGCATGCAGCTTAGCTAAACAAGTATAAATTTTTCAAAATATCTTACAGGCTTTCGATGATGCCATCGCTGATATCGAGTAAATCGAAGAATCTTAATATAAGGATGCCACCACAATTATGCAATTAATTAGAGACAACCTCACTCTTTGGACTTCTGAATTGGAAGATGAAGAAGGACCCAAATGATGGAGGTATATGATATATATATATATATAAATATAAAAAAATATAAACACACATCATTAAGTCCCTAACTTTCAACCCTCAGGGTAGAAATTCAATGAATCATAACTAAATTTTTGTTTAGTAAATTAAAATTAGTTATATATTTTTAATAAATTTTATATAATATATCAATTTATTAAGAACTAATTGAGTCACACTATCCTAAAATAGAAAATGCTTTAATATAAGCATTTTAAATCTTAGGATTGAATAAAAGATCTTATAAATCCAGCTAATTTCAAGGTTTAGAGCATAAAGCATTATTAATTTAAAGCCTAAGTATATTTATCCTTGCAAAAGATACTTTAAGCTACTTTGTCAAAAGATAGTTAAAATTAATGAAATGTTTATTCAAATGATAAACTTATTTTTAATATTATGAAGTAAATAATTAAATAATGCAATCTGAGGATATCATCATTATTTTACAAAGTTAGATCAATTACAAGTTATATATAACTTTATAATGCTTGATACGGAAAAAGATATAAGTTAGAGTTTTATAAATTTAACTTGACTTCATTCTTAATTTAATGAAAATTAAAATTCTAAGAAGAAAAATGTCGTTAATGATGTAAGCATAAAAAAACTCTATTATAAATTAATAATGCCATAAAAATTCATCTAGTTTTTATTTCGTTATTTATCTTGTACATAACTTATTTAGGTCAATTAAATTCAATTCTTTATCTTTTAATATATTATTAATATAAGAATATTATCATAAATAAAATAAATAAAATATAATATCTAATAAATAGATATATATATTAATGTAAAAAATCATGAATGTATGTAAAAACATATTGGTATCGATAAATCTCCAACATTTTCAATGGTGACTTAATTTTTAATTATATTTAAGGTGTTGGGTTTAAGTATTCTTTAAGAATGAGTAGATTCACATACTATATTATGATATTAATGTCTAATTGCGAATTTTAATTCAGAATTTTAGTTTAAAATTATTTAAACAGATTAATTTTGTTGCAATCTAATTATGAAAGCAAATCCTGAATCCAGTATTCTATATTTTGTAATAAAATTTACTATGCTGAGATTAGTTAGATATTTGTTTAGTTCTTAAGAAATCTCTTTTTTTTAATAATTGACTAGATTATTTACAGACTCATTCATTTGAATTTCTGAAATGGAGGATTCAAATAAGTGTAGGGGGTTGATGAGCCTTTCAATATCTAGATTAGAAATTTGTTAAAAGGAATTTATTTGATTGATGATCTCAAATTGAGATTCGTCCTTTTAATATTTGGCAGGAGTCTAGAGACAAGAGGCAGTCAATATTTGCTCATTAAATACATCCTTCTGTTGATGTTCAAGCATAATTTGATAGAGGTTCTTGGATCTCGGTCTCAACCAAGTCGTAGTATATTTATATTCTGTTGACTTCATAAATTATAAAAAATAATCAATCATTTAGTAATGCCATTCTCACATTATTTCTACAGGATGGACACAAAGGTTTTGCATTAAGCCATTCATCAATGCAAATATCATGAAAATAATGATTACATTTAGGCAATTAGACCACAATTTCCATCTATTCCAATTGACATAAGCAGATAGGACAGTCTTCTTATTATGGTACCTAATATTCGATCCACGGTTTTCTTGTCAATGTTTACAACTCTTCTGGAGACAAGCCTCGGTTTACAATAGGGAAATCTCCTCTGATAAGTCCAAATATCACAATAAGAACAAATATGATAATAGTGCAAAAAGAGAGAGCATAACAAAGTGCATTGCAGAGTAAAAACAAATCGAATACCCATTCACAAATCTATTAATTGTGTATTGTACTATTATGTAGATCGATCCATTGGCATTTTGGGCTGAGAAGGAATTTACAACTTTCACAGTTGCCAAGAAAATTGTCATTTCATATTCAAATCTACTTTTCTGTTTATAGAATCTACATAAAACTAATGGAAAGACCTGTAAAATGCAAAACAATTCTCAATTCTTACAATCAGCAACACATTGATGCTCATTAATATTCTTGCCTAATTTGCATTCAGATTTGGCCATTGATAAATAATGAATGAGGTAAAGAGAATAGGAATTACATATTTGAAAATTCCTTTTATTAAAAGTTTTATGATATTTAAGATCATTTCTAAAAGTTGATAATGTTTCGATTTCCTAATTTATTTTTTAAATTATGAAACTCATTAATCAATTTGTAAACAAATTGATTTATAATACCCAACTTGTTCGTTTGATATCAATTATATAAAGATATATAAGCTGATTCAGAAGAGGTGAGTCTATCTTAAATATGTAGTGAAACGATAAATTTAGGATAGTTGTTATATCACTTTAAAGAACATGTCATTACAAAGTCTGTTTAATGCTTCGAATAATTGATATGAGAAAGGAAAAGGATTATTTTACTATTATTATACCAATATGTTATTTAAAAAAACTAGAAATAATTAATATTTTTCCTTTTTGCTTACCATTTAGAAATAATTTTAATATAATCATCTTGTTATTTTACTACTCTTTAATCTATTAATAAATGTTTAACTATCATCGTAATTTCATGTAAAATAATATGTTAAGAATTGGCATAATTAGTTATTTCATATTGCAGTATATTTGACATATCAAAATTATTTAGAAAACTATATTTATATATAATTATTTATAAAAGCTGTTATTAAATTTGAATGTCAATTATTGATCAAATTGATTTGAGTTTAGAAAAGGCAAGCAGCCTCTAATAAAAACGCTTTGAGGCAGAAGAATCAAAATAAAAATCCCTGAATTATGAAATCAATTAACTGAGAAGTTAATTTAATGAGAGTTAAGATGATTAGGATGAATAGATGACTCCTGAGAGAAGTCATAGTTAAAATTATAGTTAATCATAATACTCACCACTTAGAAATGATATTAAATAATTAGAATTATAAAAGTAATTACTTTAATCATCGGAGAGGAAGTTGTAGTAAGAAATTGAAGATTCAGACAATGACGATAATTAGTTATAGATATATCCTAAATACGATAAAAAACATAAATAATAAAATCAATAATTATAATAATAATAAAAATACCCTCAGCAAAAATAAAATAAGGATCAAAGTAAACAGCCTAACAAAACATAAAAAGAGAGTACTCAAAAAATGAGATCCAAGAAGCATCAACTAGAAAATACATAAGTAAGGAAAGATTTATTATAAAAAACATAAAAAAGTGTTCCAAGATCAACTTAAATAATAACCACTACAACAGAAAGAAGAAATGAAAAAGAAAATGGATATGTAATTTAAGAATAAAAAACAGAATATCAAAGGTTATAATAACATATAAAGTCTGTTAAAGCATAAGTTTCAAATCAATTGGTAAAAAATGAGAAAGTTAAACAAGAAACGCAAAATGATGATTAAAATTAATACAAAATTAGAGGATATAGAGACTAAGCTGAAATTAAATATTTTGGGTAATTACTTTATCCAATTTTTTAGACGCCCTCTGCCATGTAATGAATGTGTATTTTTATTAAATAAAGGAATGAGTTCAGATTATTGTTCTTAACATGGTAAAATGAACAAAGAAAGACCACCAAATAAAACATTGCCTAAAAGATTAGCAAAGTTTTTTTGATGTTTTATAATTTGGATTTTATTCAATTTGCTTTTCATAGATATGATATAAACTTAAATTAAATTAAACACTAAAATTCTATAAGACATTTTGGATACTAAGTTTGTATAATCATAAAATGAGCATAAAAAAAGGTGAACTTCAAGATATTTGACTTCTAATTTTTCAACCGAATGGAAATCAGCTGGATCTAGTAAAATTTTATAAATATAATCATTCCATTTCTTAATTCTATTTAAATTAAAATATTTAATTACTATAGATGCCTAAGTAGATCCATACTAAACTGATTAGCTGGAACATTTATTATTGATCAAATATAAATTTAAAAATAATTAATGTGCATTTAAAGATCCTCTATACTTTATGTTTCAAATTCATAATGTTCATAATATCTCTTAACATAATGGGTAGTTTTATAGTTACACTCCTTTTAGTGATTTCAGCAATCTCTTCTATCCATTCGCAAGGCTTACTCTACAGTATTACGTTCTTTTTTTTTTAAATTTCTTTAACAAACAGATTATATTGGTATGCTTTTGATTGATATAGCCACTCTCTTTTTATATTTTTAACATAAATATCCTTAGAACTTGTTACTATTGTTTAATTAATTAAATGATTAATCGATAAACTCTATTTTAAGAATGCTATCTTTTATTTCCTAAATGTACATGTTATTTTGTAATATTGTTTAGAAGAAGAAGTATGTTATGTTCTTGACAAAATAAAGGTAAGGAAAATATTTGAGGGTTAAGTTGAGTTTGACTAGCAGGAGATGGAAATCTTAAAATAATTCGAAACATACTTAATCTCAAAACGCTTTATGCCTAAGTTCTCACCCAATTAATTTAGGTGGACTGAATCCTAATTGCTGAGGATGTTATATGCTACTAAATTTAAGTTTGAGAAGACTTATGCAGCCATCCAGGCCTATATTTAATGGAAGAATCAAGCATTTCCACTTAAGGAGAATTAGGACACATCTAAATTCTTAGTAAAGAATACCTATATATTCTAGTTAAGTGGTTCTATATACCTTCATGGAAGAGACAATAGATTTAGACCAATAATAGTGGTTAATGCTGTTAAATTGGCAGCATAAAAAAATATTGACATAACCTTAGATTCAATGACTATATTTTTAGAACATGTGCTTTCAAATTACATGTTACCTGGATAGATAGAGAATTGGTAAGAAATAAATTCTTATAAATAATAGGGTTGTTGTAATGGATTTAGGTGGTTTGGGAATTACAAGTTTGCCAAGACAATAACTGTAAAGAGTATTAGATTATCTATAAAATAACTATCGTTCTAGAATGCATAAATGTTATGTAATTAATTGTCCTAGTACAATCACATTTTCTTGGAATATAGTAAAAGGATTTTTAGAAGAGATAACTGTAAGAAAAATATCATTTGAAAAATCTTCTATTCCAACTGGATTATTTGAGCATTGTCATAAATCATAAGTTGAATAAAAATATGGCGGAGTTTCTTCAAATATTGAAAACACCTTTTGGTATTTAAACAGTTTTATTTTTTAAAAGGCCTCCAAAGGAGATTAGTTAATAATATTTTTTACCAACAGATAATATCTCAGATATACTTATTTCAAAACAATAATATAATCATCTCTATGAAGTCGGGAAGCTTTCAAAAAACCACATTTGTAAAGAACTTCTTGAAGATCTAGGATCAGCCAGCTATAATACAAATATGGATTAGAATATAGACAAAAAAATGAAAGAAGAAGTACCTGATCCAGAGGAAGAATAACAAGTTATTAACAATCTCATTCAAAACAATCAAGGGTTCTATTAAACTGAGGTTGAAGAAAAGTTTGATGCCGTATTCTGGGAAGCCACAATTTAAAAACCATTAAGTTTTAATATTCACAAAAATATGTTAAAATATTGAATATTTATATTTCTATATTTAGATAGCATTATGTTCTGTTTACCTTAAGATCTTTTTTAGAGTAATTAAATACAAAAAAAAAGAAGAATAATATTAAATCGATTTAAATGACTGAATTATTAAATATTATATATTTCTAACTTAAAAAATGGGGAATGATTGCTCAAGTGCATGCAATGTATGCAAAAATTCGGAAACTGTTGTAGATGCAACTTCGTTTCCAAACGATTTAAAATAATATGAAAACTCTAAGAATTTAGATTATACCAATGCGTCCAATCAATAATAATAATAACAATCACTATAATAACAGAACTTTAGTTAATTTTAACATCAGCCTCTCGCGACTGAAGAAGTACATTCTCCGCATCCAGAACAGTTTAGATCTAATTCATAATTACAATAATACTTCTCATAAGCTGACAAATAAGAAACAACTAATTATCATAATGATTAAAACACGCATCCTGAAAGAAGACCACCCTTTACCTTCAGAAGCGGAGCCATATATGATGGGGAATGGAGAGGTTAAGTGCGTGAAGGTTTTGGACTTTAAATTTGTAATTATATGATTCTGAAATTAGGGCCTGATGGAGCCAGATATGAAGGTTAATGGAAAGATAATAAGGCTTGTGGTTAAGGAAAATTTTGGCATGTCGATGGCGACATTTATGAAGGAGAATGGAAAGAGGATAAGGCAAATGGTTTTGGAGTTTATATACATGTGAATGGAGCTAAATATGAAGGATAATGGAAAGATGATTTATAAGATGGAAATGGCCTTGAAACCTGGGCAGATGGGTCTAAATATGAAGGTAGTTATAAGGAAGGAAAGAAGCATGGATTTGGTAAATACATTTGGAATGATGGGTCTTCCTATGAAGGTAATTGGGTGGATAACAAAATCTGCGGAAGAGGAATCTATTGTTGGACTGATGGCAGAGTATGAAATTCTTTTGATTATTTTTAGAAATATGATGGAGAATGGTTAAATAATAATATGCATGGTAGAGGTGTTTACACTTGGAGGGACGGTAGAAGATATGAAGGCGAATATTAATATGACAAGAAACATGGTTAAGGAGTTTATATTTGGGCAGATGGAAGAAGTATTCTAATATAATATTCTAAGAATACGATGGATAATGGGCTTATGGAAAATAAAGTGGTTAAGGAAAGTATCATCTTCCTGATGGAACTATCCGTCTGGGTTTATGGGAAGATGGAAAAAGAATTAGATGGTTGGAAGAAGATGCATAAGTGGCGAAAAATAATCATTAACGTTACTGATCTAACCAATTTATTTTTATTCCATATAAATTTCTAAGAAAATTATTGTAAATACATTTTAAACTTCGATAATGTTAAACATTTAATGTCTTGTCCCTAATGATATTATTCTAATTACTAATTCAGAAAATTCTTATAATTTAAAACCAGAGTAAACAATATTGAATTTAACAAGCAAAAGATTCCCTATTTATATCAAAGTTTAGGATTTAGGATTAATCGTTAGAAAACAATCATAAATTAAAAAAAATGCTTATATTATATTTACATAAAGCCTTTTATGACAATTAAAATCATAAATACAAAAGCATTAACCTTTTAGTCTCATGTTAGATTTCATAAATAAAATGATTAGTTTTGTGAAGCAATTATATTATTTTGATAGTTAGAAGATAAAACTTTAATAATATATGAAATAATTTTAATATTAAAGAAAATACATATTATATTTAGTTAGATCTTCTCCGAACAAATTTAGCATCAATGATTCTTCTATTGTAATTTTGAATTCTTAAAAGTATTTCTAAGTTATATTCGTTTCTCTTCCATTTGTTGGCTTCTTTCAGTTAATTATTTTAATTTCATTTCTGACTTTTGTAATTCTTCTTATAAGCATGAATATATGTCCTTTTGGCTTTGGTCTATCTTCATTTATTTTTATTATCCTCTATCCTAGTAATTTTAAGATTGCATTTAGTAATTGTTGATTTGGGATTTAATTTACTCATTTAATGGAGTCTTAACAATTAATTATGGATTTTAATGTTGAGGGATTATTGTTTGTGATGTAAGTATTTTTGAATTTTGTTTTTTCGGAGGTGTTAATGAGGTTGGCATTTGATGTAAAAATGAAGTTTGAGATCTTGATTATAAAGGCATATCAATTTTTTATCTAATAATTGGGCTTTTGGGTTATGATACTCTAAATTGAATTTAGTTTGTTCTTATTGGGGAAATATTTTATTGGTTAACATTTCTTTAATCAAATATTTATTTTTTTCTTACAGTTTATATTAAGGATGGATATTATATATTCTCCTTATAATATTAACAAAACTATGGCATTTTTTGAGTAATTTGAGGGATTTTTGGTTTCAAATAATCCTCATCATTCTGATATATAGGAGATAAAGAGCGCTATAACATTTAACAAATAAATTAAAAAAAATATTTATTTATTAACAGACTCAATTTATTTCTTAATTTAATAAAATTAGTATCAATTATTTAATAATAAACAAAAATTACTCATTGAGAAGTTATCTTTATTAATAAATAAATAATTAATGATTCATAATGTTTATTCCTCATTCAGGTCAGTATCATAAAAGTAATCTAAATATAAAACAAGGCATTTTTCAAAATCATATTTTACAAAATTTATAGAGATCCATATAGTATTACTTGTTTATGAAAATCGTTAATATTTTTATAATGAAATAACAATATTCAAAATAAGAAAACTCGAAAGATTTTGAAGAATTTCATCATATTGAAGAATTGAAGGAATTATTTCTTTTAAATTCAATAAATGATGGATCCAGTTTTCAGAAAGTGGTAAAATTGGGAGGTGATTAAGGGTTGGCAAAATAACTAAAATCGCATTTATTAGTAGATATGAAAATTAATTTAAATAGAAAGGAATTGATTCAGAGGCTTAGGTGTAAGAGAATCGGGAAAAATTTGGGAATAATGATCCTATAGAAAAGGAGCCTGCATAATTGTACGAATTGATTTTAGAGTGTTTTGGAGATACAATGCTGTAAATACTATTGGTTGCTGCACTTGTTAGCACAGTAATTGGAATTATAAATGAAGGGGTCAAAACAGGGTGGACAGAGGGGTATAGTTAAATCTAATATCTAGAGCAACAATATTTTTAGCTGTTTTTTTAATTGTTTCGATAACAGCTGGTAATAATTATTTAAAAGAGAGATAATTTTAATAATTAAGACGTAAATTGGATGATGGAATGATATAAGTAGTTAGAGGGGGAATAGTCGAGATATCAATAAAAGAAATAGTTGTAGGAGATATATTGCAATTTGGTATTGGAGACATTTTTCCAGTTGATGGTACTTGATAATATTATAATTTAGGTTTGATGATATAGGGATCTCAGATTAAGGTAGACGAATCTCCTATGACTGGAGAGTCTGATGAGATTAAAAAATTACCATTCAATGAGATGACTCAATAATAATTGAATAACAAAGATCATCACCATTATAGTCCATTTTTGATAAGTGGTACTCGATGTTTAGATGGAAATGGATATATGTTGGTGTTGCAAGTAGGATAAAATACGATACAAGGATAATTAAAATTATTATTAAATTAAGATAACCCCCCTACACCTCTTTAATAAAAATTAGAAGGAGTTGCTGAAAATATTGGAAAATTGGGTACTTTGGTAGCAATTTTAACATTTATTGCTTTGATGGGACATTTACTCTATGATGTCTTTGTAGACCATAAACACGAATTATTTACTTTGTTATCTTTACAACTAATAATCGAGGCTTTCATGATAGGAGTGACAATAATAGTTGTGGCTGTTCCAGAAGGTTTGCCATTAGCAGTGACGATAGCCTTAGCCTATTCTGTAGGCAAAATGAAGGATGAATAGAATTTAGTAAAGAATTTAGCATCATGTGAAATTATGGGTGGTGCAAATAACATTTGTAGTGATAAAACAGGAACATTAACTTAAAATATTATGTAGGTAACTGCATTATGGATTGATAATCATAACTACCTTAATCAAGAAATAAATATAACTTCTAAAATTTCAAAATAATCTATTGAGGTTATGTCTGAGTCTATATGTTATAACTCTATAGCAAATCCTACTAAAGATAGAAATACTAATAGATGGACATAAATTGGGAATAAAACTGAATGTGCTTTGATTGAATTAGCCGATAATTTTGGATTTAAATACTCCAATTATAGATAAAATGATAGAATTCTAAGACAAATTCCCTTCAGTAGCAAAAGAAAGAAGATGGTAACTGCCATATTAAATCCTAAAAATTAATCGATCAGAATATTTAGTAAAGGAGCATCAGAAATTATTTTATAATAATGTTTCAGATACGTTTCTAATAATGGTGCCGAATTACCTCTCGATAAAACCAAGAAGGATGACATTTTACACAATGTTATTGAAAATTTTGCATCTCACTCGTTAAGAACAATAGCCATAGCATATAAAGACCTAGAACCTTAAAGTTAAGCAATAAAGGGATTTGTAAACGCAAAAGCACATGTACATTAAATAAATGAAGATGAAATTGATAAAGATTTAACATTGATTGCCATAGCAGGTATCAGAGATCCAATCAGACCTGATGTTGCTGAATCTATAAAATAATGCACAAGATCTGGAGTGACTGTTAGAATGGTTACTGGTGACAATATAATTACTGCTCAATCAATAGCATTAGAGTGTGGAATATTGGAGAAGAATAGGGCATAATAAGAATTCGAAGTAATTGAAGGTAAGAGATTTCGAGATTTGGTGGGAGGATTAGTAAATGCAAAAAATGAAGAAGGGAATGAAATAAAAGTGGTTAAAAATATGTAGATATTCTAAAAAATAAGCAAAGAGATGAAGGTAATGGCTAGAGCATCACCAGAGGATAAGTATTTATTGGTTACAGGCTTGATTTAAGAGGGTAATGTAGTTGCAGTCACAGGAGATGGTACAAATGATGCTCCTGCATTAAAAAAGGCAGATGTTGGATTTGCTATGGGAATTACAGGGTCGGATGTGGCCAAAGATGCTGCAGATATCATTCTCATAGATGACAACTTTAGCTCTATTATTACAGGTATCAATTTTGATATTCCATAGCTATGAAATGGGGTAGAAATATTTATGATTGTATAAGAAAATTCATACAATTTTAGTTGACAGTCAATTTAGTGGCTTTGTTCATGTCTTTTACAGGGGCCGTGATCTTAAAGTAATCTCCTCTTAATGCAATTGAGATGCTTTGGGTGAATTTGATTATGGATACTTTTGCTTCTTTAGCTTTAGCTACTGAACCTCCTTCCATTAAAGTTTTAGACAGACAACCATATAGAAGAACTGATTAAATTGTCTCGCCGACAATGTATCGAACCATAGTAGGAGCAAGCTTGTATCAAATACTGGTACTCACATTTATATTGTTTCTCTTACCAAAATTCATTGATTGCTCCATCCCAGAGGAATTGATTGAATAAAAAGTAATTATATAATTTTAATCATAAAAGTACCCTAAGAACGTAGTACAAATGAGTATCTTCTTTTAAGCATTTGTGTTAATGTAAGTATTTAATTCAATTTCCTGTCGATAATTAGATTATCACACAAGGAATCCTTTTGCTAATTTTTGCAATAATCCATTATTTTGGGTTGTTTAAACCATAACGGTAATTGTTTAGGTTTTGCTTATATAATACGGAGGAAAATATGTAAAGGTCTCTCATTTGACATTATTTTAACATTTATTATGTGTTGGGTTTGGAATTGGTGGAATCGTATTTTCCATACTATTTAAATTTATACCAGAACAACTATGCTAAAAAATTCATCTCTTTAGAGAAGAAGAAATCAAAACAGAAAAGATGGATGATACCTTAACCAGTAAATTAAGAAGAAAGTCAACTATGCGTCTACATACTAGTTAACGAAGTAAGCATGATATCGGTAGTCTAAAGAAAATGAGCTCCGACAAATTGTGAATTTAAAAAATTATACAAATATTTAATCAGTAATTTATTTAAATATCCGATATCATCCATTTAAACAAACATTAAATCATAGAAATATGAGATATATCCCTCTATCTACATTTATCTTAAAATTAGTAATCAGTAGTTATAATCCCCTTCTATTATATTACTAAATCTTCTTCAAGCTAAATGGTTAATTTAAAATTCTAATTTGTCTGTAAGTAGATCATTCATACTTTATTAAAATTAAATTATTATTGAAATTTTAATATTTAAATAAAACAAAAACTATGGAAAAGTAATACTTTATATATATTTCCTTAGAGAAGCCGTGGAAACGACCTTCAAGTACTTTTGCTATAAATACACTTATATTAACGCTATTGTTTTCCTTTTAACGCTTTGTTAATATTAGGGAGCTCCTTTGGCACTACCGCTCTTTTGTATGATATTGAACGAAATTGTTATCTGGATTAAATTTTCGAATGGGTAAATCGTAGACAAGCTTGATCACATTCTCCACATCTTATTTTATGTAAGTCTCTGATGTCAACTTAGATGTATGTCACGCTTATGTATTATTTAAATCTAAAATCCTATATTTTCAGCAATATATTCATAGTCTTGTCTTTCATTCTAAAAGTAGCCTGTGACAAGCAATATAATGAGTAGCACGATTATTCAACTATTATACGATTGGTATTTTTATTTAATATTTAGAGTATAATTTTCTATAGATTTTCACTATTGATAGCTATTCTTTGTATCACATTAAAAGTCAAAGGATCTGTAGATTGGACGTGGTCATAAACCTTTTGGTGGTATTGGATGTTTTTGAGTGGATTAATAGGAACAACTATGACTTTTTTATTGATATTAATCAATAAACTAATTAAGATTAAATGCAACTTTAGAGTAAACCAAACAAAAAATGAAGGTACTAGATTCACATTCTAATTTAGTTAAATTATTAATATGGCTATTATATATTGGAACTTTAAGCAGTGTAATAGCAGGAATTTGGATAGTAAATACATTAAATGAACTTGGAATCGGTTTCAATATTTAAATAGGAGACGTTTCTATCTATATCATTATACCTCTGAATATTCTCATATTTTGCACAATCTCGTATTTATTATTCGATTCAGTGGTTGAATAGGTTTTAACAATAAATTAAATTCAAACTAGACATTCAAATACAAAGTCAAACTCTTAAGAGAAAGAGAAATAAAATAAAAAGGTGTTAATTAAGTAATCAATTTTCATGCAAAAACTATCAAACGCTTACTTTCGAAAAATAAAGACCCTGGAAATTTTGCAGCTCAAAGAGGCAGGCTAAAATCAAATATTAACAGAGAGAAATATGAATAAAAATATTATTAAAAAAAATAAACCAGCTCATCATAATTCTAATAACAAGTGCATAATTTGTTGTGAGTAAGCTTCAAATGCAGTATTTATGAATTGTGGCCATGGGGGAATTTGTTATTAATGTGCAGTTCAAGTAGCATAAAATTAAAAGGAATGCTTTCTTTGTAGATAGATAATTTTGTAGATTTATGAAATTGATGAAAAAGATGCTAGCATATTCAAAAGAGTGATCTCAAAAACTAGAATTTCTAATTGATACTTTTTTTATTAATATTTTTAACAGTTTATGAAATCTCAATTCGAAGTTTTCCTAAGACTAAAACCTTCCAACAAGTAAAGATAATCATGTATTTTAGCTAATCCTAAAATGCTATGCAATACTAAATTTATCAGAATAAAAGATTACAAGTTTTATTGCCTAAACATGTTAAATTCGGAATGATCAACAACAGCCGAGACAATTTGGATTTCAATTTTACTCATGTTTTTGATTAAAAATCAAGTCAGGAACATGTATTTACGAATGTCACAACTCCTGTTATAAATAGGTATTGTAGTATAATTCAAATTTAGTTTTTTGGATGGGTATAATGCCACTATTTTTGCTTATGGATAAACAGGATCTGGTAAGACATATACAATGAGTGGAGCTGAAACATGGTAGTTGAGAGGAGTTATACCTCGAGCACTTTCTTATATTTTTGATGAAATCGATAAAAGAACTAAATTTGAATATAAAATCTATATTTCATTTATGGAGATTTACAACGAAAATGCATATGATTTATTAGAAAAAAGACATTTGGAAACTCCTTTGGAATAGTGGAACAAAGTATTTATATCCTAATTTTAAAGATAGCATTATTTGAAGATGATCAAAATAATATTCATTTAAAAAACCTATCCATTCATTAGTGTAACAATGAGTAAGAAGGAATTGATCTGCTGATGATGGGCAACTTTATAAGACAAGTCAGCTCCACTCCTATGAATTAATCAAGTTCTAGATCTCATTGCATTTTTACAGTAACTCTTGAAGGATGTGATACAACAAGTGAAACTTGTTTTGTTAGCAAATTACATTTAGTTGATTTAGCAGGATCAGAAAGAATTAGTAAGTCATAAGTGGAAGGCAATCTATTGAATGAAGCAAAATATATCAACTTATCTTTAACCTATTTAGAATAAGTCATAATAGCACTGAATGAAAGGATGAAAGGAGCCAATAGACAGCATATTCCTTATAGAAACTCATTGATGACAACATTATTAAAGGATTCACTGGGAGGTAATTGCAAAACTGTGATGATCGCCACAATAAGTTCTGAAAATGACAATATTGAAGAGTCACTTTCCACTTTAAGATTTAGTTAAAGGGTTGGACAATTAGAGAATGAGGTAATAAAAGTTGCTAATATGTTAGATAAGGAGAAATGAAAAGGTAGATTTGGAAGCTGTTGTAAAAAGATTAGAACAAGAAAAACTAGCCTTGATAAGAGAATTAGAATAATATTAAAGAGGAGGGACATCCACTTCAAGTAATAAGAAAATATAATAACAACAATAAAATTTATTACCTTAATCAAGTGGAATGCCTATTAGTTAAAAGGAGGTTTAAGAAAAAGTTGAACTATATCTAAATGAAAGGATTCCTTTATTGGATGTGAAAAGTGTTGAAGAAACATAGAAGTGCTTTGAAGCTATGAAGGATTTATATAATACAAGAATGAAGGAGTATGTGACAGAACTTACATTCATCTCTGAAAAGCTATAAAAATATGATGAAATATTAACCAGAAAGTATGAAAATATATAAAGTATTAGAAAAGAACAGAGTTCCTTCCTTGAATAAAAAGAGAATAGTTCACCTGAGATTGAAGTTTATAGAAGAAACGAGTCTCCACAGGTATAATTCAAAAAAAGACCAAACTAGTGATAATAAATATATTTTTATATATATATATATATTTGCTAATCTAATTAATTAACCATCTCAAATACTCAAGGATGCTCCTTTTCCATTTAATTCTGCTGCTTCTTCTTAACTGACATTTGATTGTTTGGCTTAAATCTAAGCATTTACTTGTGGACCCAATTAATTAATTATAAAGCTTAAACCCTTTTAATTAACTTCTGTAGAGTTCAAATTGACCGAAAGGCTAACCAAAATAGGCAAATTATGGAGGAACTAATATTATAATAGAAAATTAAATACTTTGCCTAGTTTACGAGCTCCTTATTCAGTAATTTTATTATAATGAACACTAATATTAACACTCTTTAGTGAAACCCATTTAGATGCAGAGAATTATTTATTTAAGTTTGCCAATGAGTTATCAGTCAATTAATTTCTTCCGACATTAATTGTCAATTCAACAAGAGTTTCAGCGAAATTGGTTACGTTTTGGATTAATCCAGCAAATCCATCATCTTTAATAGCATTACTTTATAAGGAGTATCCTGAGAAGTTAAGTGTAAGCTTCTTGACTCCTTTGTATGTTGACAAGGCATCTCCCAATTATTGAGCTGATTTATTATCAACTTGAGATTGACTAATAATATTCTGATTATAATCTACCTGAAGTTGAATAACACTCTTGTAACTTAACTTCCTCCAATAGATTTCACAGCTTTAGAAATGTGTTAGACTGCTGCATTAACATTCGATTATTCTGCCAATACATTTACTTCCTCTAAATTAGGTAATTTCACATTCTTAAATTCGTTAAAGAAGTCTTTTGCTGAATTTGCTTAGACCTATGATGAGAATTCAAAAGTCAACACCTTTAACTATTCTGCTTGTGATATTGCTATAATGATATTAGATTAAATTTTATACCTTAAGCAATATGTGACAATCCTTAGGCCTTTCCACTGACTCTCCAGTTAATTTATAAATTCAAAATGCCTGTTAACCTTGATATTGATTCTGCAATAGACTTTGATTACTCTAGGGTAAAATCTCCAATATGGAGTATTATTCTTGTCTCTGGAGTAATCATTGTATTTAACAATAATGCAAATGCTTCAGCTGTCTCAATATTAAGACTCACGAAGTTTTGTTATTAAATAGAAGAGTCTTCTTAGATGATGTTTAACAATTGTTCTCCCAATTTCTTAATTTAGGAATTCCAAAACTTTAAAGCTAATTCAGTTTTGTCCTAAACAGCCTAATTTAAACTCTATTCCAAATTATCTCTGTAGAACTATTCTTTGGTTTTATTCCACACACACAATTCATTTGGGGCATTTCTCCAAGCTCTCACCTTTTTTGTTGTTGCAAACAGGTATTCTGGTAATTCTGGGGCTGCTCTCAATTCAGATATCTATTGATTCTTAATTCTATATTACTTTATCTACTATTTCTTTTGGCTTTGGAATTGTAGCCTCCTATTCAGGATCACTTTTTAAAACTGTCTACAAGGAATCAAATGCTCTTTACACGTTGTCACCTTCGCCTTAAGCACTTCCCACCAACTTAGACACAATATTATTGCAAGCATCCTCATAACCTTACTTAAGTTTTTAATTTAGTTATTTAAAAGAGCCAACTTGTTCTTACACTTAAGTCTCATAAGCTTATTTTTTCTTTTTGTAATTTTGAACAAGCTCCTATGATTCAGCATCTGGAACATAAGCTAAAGGAGACTTTTTAGTTAAATCCCTAATTTATTTTTATATGCCATTTTTACTATAAAAAGTCTGTAATAACAACTAGTTCAGTCTTTTCTCCAGTTTCATGTAGTTTTTGAGTTACATGTCTAGCAGTCAATAACTTGCTATTCAACACTTCCTTTGGCTCAGAAACAAGAACATAGGGTTGGTTATCAGTTGGGTTCAATAATTGAGGGAATTCGAAATCCATTAATTAAATATTGTCTCATCCCGCCTTGACTTAAATTCAATTATATTTTATATTCTAATTCATATTTATTTATCCAATGAAATTTAATATAAGTTATAATATATATATCAAAATAAAATTAATTGAAAATTTAATAAAATTTAACAACCTCTGAATACATTCAGATTAAATACATTTAAGTCAATTTCATACAAATTTATGTTGGTTCTTCTGAAAACTATTTCAAAAAAATCCAATAAAATTTATAATATCATTATTAAATCTTTTATTTTATAAATCCATCAGAAGATTTTGATAATATTGCTTTAAACAATATATCTAATTGTATAGTCTCTTTTAAGATTGAAACATATTGAAATATGACGGCTATTGTAAAATCAAATTCCTTTATTTCAAATCATTGTTATCATAATATTATTATTAAATATATAAGTTCAATAATTTCCATCTATTTCAACCTATTTTATCGAAAATTATCTAAAGCCTTTAAGATTACTCATCTGCTTTTTTGAATTGTATATAAAGATTTTTATAAGAATATATTCAATTCTATAAATGTTGTATCAATTAAAAATAATATATTAAAGTTATAATTAAAGTCAACAATTTAAGATTAAAAAACAAAATTCTATTTTCAAGTCTATCTCTCTAATTTTTAGATACATAAAATAATAAAGATTATATTTATTTTATGTATATTTGGATTTAATCAAATTAATAATTTCAATTCATGGATTTGTTTAAGTACTTATACCTAGTTTATCAATTAGCCCAAAGTGAGAATTTATGATTTAGAATTCTGAATTGACAAATTTGGCTAACGTTTTATGAAATTAGATTTGTTTAATTAGTATAATCATTTTATCAATAAAAATAAATGTTTTAAAAGGAGCAAAGAAATGTTACGAATTCTGGGTATCAGAGTACTTCAAACGCATATGTTATGGCCATGAAGGCACTTCAAGAAAAAATAAAAGTAATGGAAACATAAAGAAATGATTTATAGCCTTCTAATAAAATGAAGATTAAAGATGATGAAATTTTGATCTAGTAAATACAAGAATTGAGAAATTAAAATGAATCATTATCTATTTAACTATAAAGACAATAAAATGATAAAGAAAATATTAATAATTATATATTATAAATTGAAGCTTTGCAATAGGAGAGATTAATATAATTGAAAGAATATCAAGATAGAATTCAAGAACTTATTCAAAAAGTAGAAGACGGTAAGAAGTAGAAATGTGAAATGTAGAATTAAATAGATTAATTGTAAAAGTAATTGGAATAGTATAAAATAAATGAAAGAGGATATATGCACAAATTGGATCAACAAAAACTAGATGAAAATTAAAAATAGATTGAATAAATATTGGATTTAAAGCATAAAGTCGAATAAGGACAATAATATGCAAAAAAACTTGAAAAGAGATATGAGAGACTGTAAAATGAGAAAAATTAATTGGAATCTAACTACATAGATTATAAGGAGAGATGCCCTGCGTTTAAATTGCAAGAATATGAAAAATAAATTTAGATGTATAGAAGTTAATTGGAAGAAAAAGAAAGGATATTTTTAAAAATGATGGAAGAAATATAGGATTAATGTTAAACAAAGGAAGATCAATTGACCAGAAGAATCTAAGAATTATTAAAAAAGAGTAATGAACAATAATCTACAATAAATAAATTGACTACTGAATTAAAGGATTTAAATTTAAAGCATCAGTAATTGTAATTAAGATTGGAATATGAAGAAAAAAATAATAAATTTAATCGTTAAAGGATGAAAAACGCATCCTCGTTTGAAGATTAAGATGTAGACATACCAAACAATATTCCAAGTTAATATTATATAAATTATCAGATTAAGAAAGGCGCAAAGTTAAATGGAGAACAATTCTAAAACTAATTCTCTAGTCCTCTATTTGAATAAAGTTTAGTCAAATCTAACAATGTACTAAAACAAGCAATAAAGGATTGCTTAGAAGATATGAAATAAACAAGTTTATTAAGGCCTGAATCGCATTTATATGGGGACTAAAGCTTATAATAATAATTTTCAAAAAACAAAAGAATATCACCTCCAATCTCGTCAAGAAATAATGAAATTGATAATTAGCTGAAATAATTGAATAATCGATATGAATAGTTATTAAGATAGGCTTAGAGAGAATCAGATTTTAAGCTAAAAGCCTAAATTCGAAAAGAATTATTGGATATTGCCGAACAAATAAAAGAGTTAAATAGAAAATGATGAAATAATTAAGCTATTCACTATTGATATAAATCACATTGATAATAATTTTTACTTGTGCATCTCAGAGTTGAGAGAATGATAATTCATAATTTCTTCATTTGGGAACTTCTTTCTGCAGATTGGGCAAATATATAAAATCAATCTAGTTTGAGCCTCAACTTGGTTTATGATGGGTTTAGAAGGAGTAACCTTGACCTCTGGCTTTTTTGTTTATTATAATTTTTCCCATTTCTTTAATTCTAACTCAGCCTTTTTTCTTATTTACGCCTCAGTTAATTGAGGCTGTGCTTTATTGATAACTTTGGGAGGGAGAGGAGAAGGCTATTCATCTTCTTTATCTGATTTGACCTCTTCGTCTACTTCTTCTACTTTTTATTACTTTTTTTATTGGGATTATTATTAACTTGGCTATTACTATTATTAAGGTTTAGGGGCATGAATCTTAGGTGGAAGTTGTGTCATTAGATTCATTGGGGGGGTTGATAATGTAAGTTTTTACTCTTGTTTCAATATAATCCTCTCTTGAGCAAGTTAAGCAGCTTGGTATGGGGCTTAAACTATTGGTTAGACAATTGAAACTTCTGGCATTTATATTGGTAATTAAGGAATAGGTTGGGTTTAAGGTGATTGATTATGTTATATAGGTGGAATTTAAGGGATTTAATGCATCGGCATAGGAGAAGGTATTGGTATTTGCATAGATATTGGCATTTAAATTGGCAGGGGAATCTACATCTGAGTTGATTGTTGTTGTTGGATAATATCTTAGGGTTATTATGGTTGTTGTTATGTATTGACTTAAGATGAAATTGATGAGGGAATCTATGGTTGTAAAGGTCCTTATGGCTGCATCACAAATTAGTTATTTGGATAGAATCTAAATTTAGTCTTATAGTATACCCAAATGGTTTAGAATGGTCTTCATATCGTGATGCTCTGTTGTTTCTGGAATATTAGATTATTAGTTAATCGCCATGAAGTCTGACTTCGTTTTAAGTAACATATCTATAAACATTCTCTGCGTCTTCAACACTAAAGAATTCTACAAAAGCAAAATCCTTTTATTCTTTCATTCTTGGATCCTTAGGTACTTTGTTTTTGACGAGTCTTATATCCTTAACAGCAGCAAGGGGAGCAAAGATATCTAATATATCACTGTCAGTGGCATCAGCTATGGACTTGATTTCAATAAGGAAAGAATTACTTTTGCTTTAATCATCAAACTAGTATTGCATATGGAATCATCAGTAAATCCAGTAGGAGGAGCCATCATGACACTCAATATCTTACAATTGATATTTCTTGGATTTAAACATTTATTGCATTTGTGTCTTTTTGCAAAATTTTCATATCCACATTTATCACATATCCAATCATAACTTGTAGGAGGCTAATTAATTAAACTATTTTTTAATTCATGTCTATTCTAATTATTATTATTATATTCATTACTCTTCTCTGTCTACCACTAGTATCATCATAAAAATCTACATTAAGAGTATGTTCACCTATTTATATTTTACCTTTTAAATATATTAACACTTTTCTTGCATAATCAACAGTGCAATATTTTATGTATGCTTACCCAAATGCATTTATTATAGAAATTTCTTCATGAGGAATGACATTGGCTTCCATTGCAGCCTCATTAAATGCACTATCCAATTATTATTTTGTTAAGTCTTCTGGTAAATTCTCCAACAATAATACCATGTTATCGTGATTTTTGGGTCTATATCTGGGTATTTTTTCAGAACTTGATGATGATTCTGATTAGGAAACAGAAACAGAAACTGAAGATGATGGTCTTGAAGCACTAGATGACGAATATTTCCTATTTTTTCTCTTTTGATGACGATCCTTTCTCTTTCTATCGTTTTTGTTATCATATCTATCATTTCTATCATTATTTCTTTCATTATTCCTTTCGTTGTTTCTTTCATTATTTCTATCATTGTTTCGATCATTATTTCTCTCATTATGCTTTTCATTTCGATCATAATTAGATTTTTCATTCCCATACTTATTATTTCTCTCATTGTTTTTATGATGAAAATCCATTTGTAATTTAAAATAATATCAAATAATAAATACAAATTTTCACTTATAATTATTTAAAATGTTTTAAATTCATTATATGATTGCGCAAATAGTAAAACTAGAATTTAATTAGTTTGTAATTGATGTAAAGAAAGGAAGTTAAAAACAAAAATAATAAATTCTTATTCCCTTAAATTCAATGTTGTAAGGCTTTGTAGTTGCAGTAGTTTTATATGAGTTAACAATGCTTATCTGTTTTAGTTTGAATTTTAAGGACTTTGCGATTTTAATGATAAATTTATTTTCATTTGTAGTTATAAAGCATCCGTTTTATATAATTTTATATTGAAAATGAAAAAGGAAATTTTGATAGTAATGACTTTATTCATGTGTATTAATGGAATTTAACAGAGTAATGGAATACTAGATCTCTAAAATTTAAAAGCGCATTAACTATTTACAAAAGTAAACAAAAATGTTACATAATAAGAATGTGTAATTTGATTCAGAATTTGATGAAGTTCCAAAAGTGGTAGTATCAATCAAATAAATCATTGGGGAGCAATATGAACTTTACACTAGAACTAGCAATATCAATTTAAAAGGTATACATACAATGTTTTACTTAGACAAGGATTTGATTTATAGATAATCAGCTCATCAAATATAGATAACATAAAAATCAATTACCTAGCAATCAATGACGACTCTTTGAGCATTGTTTGTGAGAATTACCAAACAAAAAAGGACTAAATAATAGTTCCTTTAAATCTAGAGCACTCTAAGGTTGCTGCATTTGTTACAGGATTGAAATTGTAAAAAAATGAAAATGTTAACTTCAAATTGAGTTCTATAACTAACTCATAAGTTGTTTTTGAAACCAAATAAAAAGCGATGGGTCTTTGTTTAGTTATTGGTGATGAAGATAAAATTGCTGTAACTAAGCAATAAATAACTACTACTTTGAAGGATAATAAACTTGAGTTTAATGTTGAGAATATTGAAGATTCAATAAAATTGTAACTATTAATCTATATTATGAATAGACCTTTGGAAAATTAAATATTATCATTTGACGATATCGTGAATAAACTTTCAGTTGAGACTAAGGAAGAAGAATAGTAAAGTTAATTATCAACTGAAGAAGAATAATACCTTGATATTGATAGTATCTAAATAGAAACCTTAGGAATAAACATTATATAGTAAAACAATGAAGAGGATGTTATTTAATCAGTTGACATTGAATATTTAGAGCCTTTAAAGTTAGTTCCAGATGATAAATTATTAAAAATAGAAGAAAAACACATTGAAACAGTTGAAGATAAGATCAGCGAAATAGTAGAAGAATAAATGCAATTAGAATAAATTGAAGAAAAGAAGTTTTTAGCTTAAATGAGTTAAGTTAATGTTGAGAGTGTTCAAAACATAGAGGACCCAATTTAATAAGAAATTGCTATATAAGAAATATATCAGGTTGTACCTTAAAATGTAGATGAACTTGATATGGATGCATTATATAAAGAATTCACATTGGGTTAAGAACTTAATGATGATTTGATTGCATATAACAACCAACTTTAATAATAATAATAATAATAATAATAATAATAATAATAATAATAATAATAATAATAATAATGATAATAATAATAATAATAAAAATAACCCTAATAATAATAAAATACTCTACAAGTAATT